TGAGGCTGCTGTCAGTGGACCCATCAGACCAGGGCTCTCAGAGATGCAGGCTCGGTCCAGGCTTGATGTCAGCGCTGGGTCTGAGTCTGGGCTCCCCTCTGCTGGTGACTGTTCCCGGGGGAAGCTGTCTGTGTACCGCCTGGCCACGGCCTGACCTGGCAGAGGGCTTCCTGCAGATGGACCTGAAATGTTCTTCCCACAGCCTGATCGCTCACCCACCCACACATCTCACCCTGGACCCTGGTCAGCTCACACCTGTACCCTGCCCCAAACTGAAAGGTGTTAAGATAACTGTGGTAGTCCAGAGTGTTGACTTTAAGAAACACACCTCCTCGCCTTGTTCACGAGCTTGTGAAAGACTTGCTGAAAGGTGTATATGTCCACGAGAAGTATGTGATAAACCTGGAGGATTTTGATACAGAAATTAGATATGTTGTCATTGAAAGCATCAATCTGGATTTTGCCAGTGCTGGTTTTATCACCTCAAAAACTAACGTGGAGATAGCTGGTATCCAGACGGTCCAGCATTACAGGGGTCACCTGCAGACCAGTACATGGCCCCGCTGGGGGGTCTGGAGAAGGTCAGCATACATTCACTGTAATGACATTATTGGTATTCATGCAGAGTCTGTGTTCCACTATGTGCCAGCTACATTTGTTTTGTTTCTTGCTGTATTTTAGGTGAGCGCCTCCCTGAGAGAGATGCTGCAGCTGCCCCTGCTCTATCCAGGCACCCTGAGCTCTCTTGGTGTGTTGTGCCCCAGAGGTGTACTCCTGGTGGGGCCTCCTGGTGTGGGCAAGACCCTACTGGTCCGCAGAGTAGTGGGGGAGGTGGGAGCGGGCCTCGTGGTGGTCAGAGGGCCAGAGGTAAAAAAAACAAACAAACATTTATATTACATTATTATGTTAAACATTTTGAATCACATTATGTGTAAGTATGTTTAGAAAAAGCCATTATGATGTAACAGATTGTCTGAAAACTCAGTCGAGAAGCTGATGAAAGAAAAAGTAGCCTGACTTATTTGGCTTATTTCCAATATTGAGATAAAGCCTTCCTTTTTAATTTGAAACACTGCCTAGTAAAACCACAGATATTAAAGGGTAAAATACCTACCTCAGTAGATCAAAAGCTCTGATAAATTATCCGGTTGAGAAATTAATGTTGTTTCAGGGTTTATATGGTCATATCACCCTACCCTAATTTAAGGGCAGCAGAGTAGTAGAATATCATATCCAAGCAGAAATACTGCCATATAACTACATGTGATTTAACCCAGTCAACACTAATGTATTTAATCATATACTGACATAGCAGAAAATCTTAACTGTCCATAACAAAATTACAAGAGGAAACTCAGTTTTATTTGAAAGCGATCTTCCTCCTTCACAAATATTCTCAAATAAAGAATGCTGCTCCAATGAAGCCAAAAGTAGAATCTTTTTACATTATAATATGACTCCGTAAGTGTATTTGCCTTACAGGCTACAAAGAGTTGTGCCAGAGACCTTTGATGTTGTTGTACATTTTAGGGGATAGAATGAGATTAATTTAAATAAATTACTTAAAGCGGCAATATAAATCTATATTCAACCCAACTCTTCTTTTTTTTATGGACTGGGACACTGATTTTACCATTAAAAAAACATACTTTCCTACCTCTGTTTTTTTTGTAAAGGACTTTGTGCAGCCTATTATTATTATATTAATATTATTAATGGTAATTGTAAATTCATTTTCAGGTGGTGGGATCACGGCCAGGTGAGAGTGAGGAGAAGCTGCGTGCTGTTTTTGAACGGGCTCGATCTGCAGCTGAAGAGGGTCCATGTGTGCTATTCTTAGATGAGTTGGACTCTCTTTGTCCAAGGAGAACTGGCTCGTCTGCACCAGAGAACCGCCTGGTTGCTCAGCTTCTCACACTGATGGACGGGGTGAATCAGTCCGATCGCTTCCTCATCGTCGGAGCCACCAACCGGCCGGACAGCTTAGACCCAGCACTGCGCAGGCCTGGAAGATTTGACCGAGAGGTACAGATGATGAAATATATAGTACATAATAATAAATGTAAATAAACCTTTGAGGCTCTGAATTGTATGCCTTTTCTGCAGGTTGTTATTGGAGCTCCCACTTTGCAGCAGAGAAAAGCCATCTTGTCTGTTCTGTGTGCAAGGATGCCTGTATGTTCCGGTGTGGACATGGCAGAGCTTGCACAGAGAACTACAGGTTATGTAGGAGCAGACCTCAGTGCCCTGTGCAGGGAGGCTGCCATGCACGCTATACGGGAAAACTCAAAGGTAATTACAGAAATCATGTAATGTATCATATAGAAACCAAACACTAATATTTTATTACTTCTAGGGAAACATTTTAGCTCCCTCCAGACCTACGTGTAGAACCTTCTATCTGTTACAGTTCACACACTGTCAAATGTGTCTCAGATAAGTTGTGATTGTTTGATTTTATATGTGGGGGAACTACAACTGTTGCTGACAGGAAAAACTCACATTAGTTCTCCGCTTTCCAGCTAGAGATGAATATTTTGGTAGTTATTTGGCATCCCAGCATGTATTAAAACAGAGTTGTGGCATAGTCAAATCAATGGGAAGTGAGTTAAGCAAGTGTAGTAGAGGCTTCAGCCAGCAACTGTGAACCAATGTATTCCTTCAGGGCAGTTGTGATTGTCAAAATTACGTCCACAAAAGTTCTTTTTTTGGCCGCTGACAGGCTCAGACTGTTATATGAGGTGTCTAACAGTATCATGGAAAGGATCCCTATGAGTAACACCCGGTAACACCCTTTGTTTTTAACCTGAAACAGAAGGACAATTCTCGCACAATTTCCCCAAAGAATACATTCCAACCACTGTAGCCGGTTTGCGGCTGCCAGCTGAAGCCATTCCTGCACTGATTTCAAAAGTTTTGTACCTCCTAGTCATTTTGACCCTAAAATAAGAAAAAACAAAGATGCACTTGTATTCACACTATAGTGCATAAATGGGTGTAAACGTGTACCTGGTAAACCTAAAATGTCAGATTCTAGTGCATTATCTTTAACCTTCCAAAGTGTTGAATATATAGGTTTAAGAATGATTTTTTTCTTGTGTTGCCTTGTGATTGTTTGCAGGGTTCAGGAGAACAGGCAGTAGCTATGAAGCACTTTCAGGAGGCCCTGAAGTCGGTGGGTCCTTCCTGCCTGCGAAGCAGCCTGGGCAGGACAGAGCTCTCTCCAATGTCTTGGGAGCAGATAGGAGGTCTGGATGAGGTCAAACTCAAACTAAGACAGGTGCATGAGTGGCTGTTCTTGAATTGTACAACGAAAAATACAAAGAGTTTTCATCTGAGATTGTTTACTGATAAAGATCAATAAAACCTGTGTTTGGAATTAATGGGTTTAATTTTCCCTCCATCTGTCTTATGCCTGAACATCAAAGAGTATTGAGTGGCCGATGAGGTACCCTGAGGCATTTGTTCGTCTGGGTCTGTGTCGGCCACGTGGCGTGCTGCTCTACGGACCTCCAGGATGTGCAAAGACTACGCTTGTCAAGGTCGCAGCCACCTCATCTCACTGTGCCTTCCTGTCTGTCAGTGGTGCTGACCTCTACTCTCCCTATGTCGGAGACTCAGAGAAGGCCTTAGCGCAGGTATTTTCTTTTCACAGTCTGTGACAACACCTGTGAATGGTTGCTGTGTTTGTGTCCTCCTGTCTGTTTCATCATAACACCTGTCTGTCCACATGTAGCTGTTTTGTCAGGCCCGGGCCTGTGCTCCCTGCATCCTGTTCCTTGATGAGATTGATTCTCTGATTGGCTCGCGGTCAAACAGTCAGACAACTAACAGCGTACAGACACATCTCCTGTCTGTGCTCTTAAATGAGATGGATGGGGTTGGTCTAAAGACGCTGGAGAGGAGAGGGACTGAGAAGATCCTCCAGGCAGAGGGAGTGGAGGAGAATCATACACTTGAACAGGTTAGATATTGAAATGTCCCTGGGACTGTCTCTCAACATCTGATCAGAATGAGGTGATATAGTCAACACTTTATACTATAAACTGTTTTTGCTCTTTGACAGCTGGACTGCCATGTAACTGGACTGCCAACTGTATGCAACAAAGATGTGATGGTGATAGCCGCCACAAACAGACCAGACTGCATAGACAGCGCCCTCCTCAGACCTGGCAGGCTGGACCACATTATCTATGTCCCACCACCTGATCAGCTGGTAAGTTATTTACCTCAAGGCCATGACATATTTTAAAAGTTACAGTTTAATGGCAATCTGGTGATTAAGTTTTTTTTAAAGTGATTTCAAACATTTGTATCTGTAATTAACTAACCCAGTAAACGTGTCATTGGTGTCATTACATGTGTCTAGGCTCGTCTTCGCATCCTGAAGATGTGTACAGAGTCGATGCCCGTGGGTGCTGATGTGTGTCTGGAGGAGCTGGCCGCAAAGACCGAGCTTTACTCTGGAGCTGACCTGGAAAATCTGTGTAAAGAGGTAATGTGAAGGCTTTATTTTCTTACATCTGGCTATAAGATACAAAATGTAATCTGGGTCCTAAATGTTGACGTAGACAAACGGTTAGAGTAGGAATACCTGAAAAATGTTTTTGTTTTCCAGGCGGCTCTGTTGGCGCTACAAGAGGAGAACATGGAGGCTTCTGTCATCAAACACACATACTTCCTCCGGTCCCTAAGCAAAATGAGCCCCTCTCTCACTGCCCAGCAGATCCACACATATCAAACGTCACTCAGATGACAAACCACATATGAGCATGTTAAATTGTATTATTACACAAACATTGGTTTGAAATAAAAGGAGTAAAACTTTGAACTGTATTTTATGGTATTTTTGTCACTGACAAGCACCTACTGTTTTGAGATCAGCACTTCAAACCATCTGCCAGCCACTGGCCTTCAGTTCTCAGATGTGGCCACAAGAGGACGCTGCACACTCAAAAAATGTATTGATCATCTGCTTAGTGGATCTGTTGACGAATTGGAATCCACTGTTGCATTTTAGTGCAGGAAGCTGTGTGTGTCTACGTGCCTTTCACCTCGTACGAACTGTCATCAGCCTACATCATTCGGAGTCACCGGATGCTGCGCTGAGAGACATCAAGGACTTTACAGCAACAACAGGTAAGACCTGTCACATGCAGCTGCCTCTGTGACTTGCTGTTTTTAATTTAATGGACTCAGCGTCATTGTAAAGAGGAAATATCAATTTGTCTTTAGGTATTTGAGAAATTAGAAAAATGGTTGGATTTTTCCAAATGTTGAGGAAGAAAAAGGAGGTGAGGATGTTTACAGTTTCACTATGATAAAAGTAACTTTGAAATATTGAATTTGTAGCCGATATATGATTTGAGATATGTTAATATTATGTTTTGGATTAAAAAACTTATTTTTCTAAAATGTGTCTTCCAGCTGATCCCTCTGATAGGGTTCATGGCTTTTGCTGCAACAGGTGCCACCTCTGCTTCGATCTACTTTCTCCTTACTAAACCTGATGTCATGTGAGTGTTTTGATAAAATGATATTCCACTGTATTTATTTAATAATACAAAGTACTACAAATTGCACATTAATCTGACATCTATCCGCCTCTGGCATGTAAGAAAAGCTTAATAGTTATATAACATTTTTATTCACAATTTTTAGTCTGAATAAGACAAGAAACCCAGAACCATGGGAGAGAGTGGACCCATCAAAACCCCAAAAGGTAATGTCTAACATTCCTAACATTACATAACATTAATATGTTTAGATGGTTGTTATTAAGCCTTTTTATTATCATTTTTGGCACATAAGTACAAACTGCATTCTGCTGAGTCACTGAAGAAGAAATGTTATCAATTTAGGACCAGCCCACTGTTACATCAGAGTAATGATGTTATGGTGCAGTACAAGCTGGTACATACTACCGTGCAGCTATTCTTACCTCTTACTTTAAGTTGACGCAACACTTGCAAATAGATCAGGTGAAGCTTAAAAATGTTTTTATGTTGTTTCTGGCATTTTGCCGCAGCTCATCACCATCAATCAGCAGTGGAAACCAGTGGAGGAGCTGGAGTTGGTAAAGAATCTCACCAAGTAAAAAAGGCGGGCATCTGCTAGAAACATCCACAGTCTGTCTACCCACCTGCCCCCCATCAGTCTAACAGAATCCTTTCTGCACAAACTAGCATGCTTTGACACTCAGTGTGCGGAAATGCTTCTGCTCCACTGGTGGGGTTTCAACCCGCTCTGTAATGGCCCAACTCAAGGACATCCATACACAACAGTGGAAAACTATGATACACATACCTCTAAGTGTAAAAAAAAAAAAAGCTTACTTTGGGTTTCTGTGACAGAGGTATGTTCGTGTTGAAAAGGTTGTGGTGTTTAATTTGACAGGAAAGTTGGTAGTCATAGCAACCCAGATGCTCTTACAGTAGATATGAATGTAAAATGGTGTCTGAATGTCTTATATAATGTCTTGTACAGTGTTAATAAATTCTTAGTGTGAGCAGTGTTTCTTGTGTTCTCAATAGTTCAAACAAGTGTGAACATATTTTGCAGGAATATTGGTATTCATGTGTTTAGATTGATATTCTTAGTCTGTTATAGAGCTAATGCTATCATCTCATGTTAGCATACTCTGCCGCCCTGACTTATAAATAAAGTACTAACAAGTTAAATACTGGCTTGAAGAGTAGCTGAATCCCTTCTTTTAAAATAAATACATCACAAAACATAATAAAAGGAGAAGCTGGTGATATTTTGTATGTAGCCAAAGCCTGATAAAGTTTATTGCTCTGTGCCATAGACCTACATTGGCCTTCTTCACAACAGAGATTTGGAATTATTATACTAGGGAAAGCACAGGCATTACCAAATACCTTAACAATGTGGCCATTGTATTCAAGTATGACAGTGATTCAAAGCATTTATAATCCCAGTACCCTGAAACTGAAACAGTTATATGGTCAGTCAGTCAGTACATTTATTGTTGTCCCAAAACTAATAAAGATACATAAATGAGCCATATACTGACATGTGAAAAGTTCCTCCATTATGAAATAGATGGGCACTGTAGTTTATTTTGAGTCAATCCCTTAGGCAAATGGTGTATTAATCCACCACTAAAAATAGTCCACAACAGATGAAGTATTTACTCCTGTTGGAGTAAGTGCCCAGATTTCTTGCTGAAAGTCAGATGACATAAATATGAAGCTACTGCCAGCAGCAAGATAGCTTAGTGTTAGCTTAAACAGCTTGCCTTACTCCGTCCAAATGTAATGATGGAGAAAAATTAATGCCAGTTTATGCTTTCAAGTTGTGTTTATGTTTAGTAAAAACATCATTAAATAGACCTTTTTTCATATAGTCTGACTATGGTAGAACGAGCACAGGTGAAACTGAAAACAGTAATGATGGCTCCTCTCCATTTAGGTGTCCAAGTAAAACATACCAGGTACTCACAATAGTTCCCTGAAAAAGGCACGCCTTGATGGAATGTGATTATAATATCCACCTGTGCAGTAAAAATGTCTGTTTTTAAAAAGGTATAATGCTCAAATTTGAACACCTACAATTCGATCACAGGTGAGAAAACTCCATGAGGATAATATGCTATAGCTGAAAAGCTCCAGAACAGCGACTAAATGGACCTTACGGTTGACTGATTAATTACACTTATTATGATTAAAAATACATAATACCTCTTTGCAGCAGAAGTTACAATCATCAAGGAGTAAAAAGACATATCCATTGTGGTCCTCCAACAAGGTGAGATTGTTGTTTACGAGGTCAAGAATGAACTTTGAAACAAAACTTAAACTTTGGTTTTTCATTGTTTGAAATCATTAAACATAATTTATTTAAAATAGACACTCAGTTTTGTTTAAATGTTTGCAGACAAGAAACTGATGAGATGTTGCCAGCTAGGACAGCTGTAAAGTATTTACTGCCATCCAGACAATGGGCAAATGCACTCATCTGCTTAGTTCATAGCTGCGTGGGTAATCACCACTCGTATTGTGTTTCATAATCAGAGACAATCCTTTTAATGTCCATCTCATATCTCAGAAGAGAGCAAAACCATCAGAAAACTCTCCCTCCTACAGTGTCTGTCCATGGCACACAGCCTGGACTGTGGGCTACACTGTGTGAATTATTAAACACTAAGCAGGGTTTGTGAAGGCAGAGAGAGGAGACACACTGGTATTGTTTCCTGATCTGTCTGAGTTGCTATTTCATCATTAAACCGTTTTCTTATTTTGTCTCACTTACATGCATGTTGACTGCAGCAAGGGTATTTCCCACTTCAAACATGTCCTTCCTTGTTGCTGTTGTTGCTGTTCCCTGCCAATTTGTTTTTCTCAGACGTTTGCTTCCCTATCACATTTTATAGCTTTAGAGAACGTAAACAGGAGGTACTGTGTCAACAAGGACTGACTCACTATGGCTGAAGGGCATTATCAGTGCTCTTGTATAGTCAAATATAATTAAAGGCCGGAGAGGTGCATCAGAACTTAATTTCATCTCACCAAGCTATGTGCAACTGAAAGTTTATTTAAGGAAACAATGGCAGAAGAGGAAGGATATAGTGTGTGCTGTTGGAATTTGTGTACGTGACTGAGTCACAGACTTCATGACACCACAGACCAGCAAGAGAAGCAGGTATTGCTCTTGCTCAGCGCTCACACAGTGAGAGATGGAATTCCCCATGTGATATCAGTGATACACTTCAGTGTTTTTAAACACTAGTGACTTGCTTCTTTAAAGTAGTCTACTGTAACTCGTCCTGGCATTAGTGACTAAGAGAGCTAATTACTGCAGTTTATGGTACTGTAAAGTAAGGCAGGGCAGTCAGGTAGTTGCTGTTAGTTATGCAAACATGGGAACTGCCTGCTTCAGTGGCTTTATGTTAATGCAGCGGTTGCCGGGAAACTGAGACACTCCCAGTTTACTCAGGTTGTTAATCATAAACCCTGGAGATGGGTTGTTTTGTATGAAAGTAGTTGATGTTTAAATGTTTCAATTATGTGGTGAAAACATTTTGCTCCATTACATAAGTATATTCAGCCTTATTATTTTCTACCATTTAACACTAGACAATTATTAAGACTCTTCAGCATCAGTTTACCAATTTTCATCCATGTACATACTGTACAAAACATTTTTCTCCATAAGGAAGGCTGTATTCACCACCACTTTCATTATTCCATGTGTGTTTTATGCTACTGTTCAGCCTATGTGTGCACCATCATTTAAGGGGTGAAATAGGCAAATAGAGAAGTGTAATGCAAATGATGCCTGTTATCTTAACAGTAAGTACCTAGTCATGAAACTAATTTCTCAGCCACTGTGGAAGTATACCACCTAGTGTTGAAAAGCAACGCAGCCTGCACACTAATGCTAATGTCTCAAATTCTGTTTCATTTCATTAGTTGTTATTTTTTTAATTCACAAATGGATAACATGTGGATGCGGATGAGGTCAAACATCAACAGTGATTCAATGAAAATTAACTATTCAGATTTGACTAAAAGCAGATACTACAGAATAGTTTCCTAACATGAAATTGTCCATAAAAACAAGATACCCAGAGACACAAATGATTAAATACTTTATTATAAACAAAAACAGTGATCCAGTGCCTGATTTCCCTTGATGATGTACATCAGATGTGGAAAGCTTTACCATAAACCCACCACGGCTTCTCAACACTAAAACACTATAAACACCATCATTATTGGCACATTTTAACTCACACCTCCCTCCCTGAAAACCTCTCCAATACAGAAGATTTCCCAAACCTGTCAGCATTATTATACTGTCAGTCAATGATATGAAAAAAGCAGAGTAAAGAGTGTAAAACATAAACAATACTGGTCGGGCGAACCACTGTAGCATTTAATTTTTTTCAATCAGTCACACTTGGATTGTCAGTTTCCTGCTCGCTACAGTTAAGACATGCTAGAGTAAAATATCAGTGTTAAAAGTGTTGGTGTACTAAGTGTTTGTCAGTACAGCCAATATAGACTGCTGTAAGAATATCTACGGTTGTTTGTTTTTTTAAAACCGGCCTTACAAAAGACTTTGGCTGAAGAATATTAATGATTAAGTGCATTTGATGAGATGCAATGTCTACTAAAGGGACACAATGATATAGTTTTTTTTGCCAGTGGTGAGGACAGCTTATATGAACTGTGACCACAGTTACTATCAAATGACATGAGGTAACTTTTCGTTTGCGGACTTGATGATAAAATGATAAAACAATCTAGATAAACAGTCCTCACACCTAGTAACAAAAAGAAAAAATTACATCTGATAAAACATCAGTTGTGATAAATCAAACAGTGAAATAAAAACAGTTACCTGTTGGAATAGGCTTTAATGGTGAATTAAGAGCAATATTTTCATTCTTCTCAGCCGAGACTTTAAGCATTCAAACTCCACTATGAAAGCTTTTCAAACATAAGAGCCCTTGAGGCTGTTGAGATCCTTCAATTAGAAATGTGCACCTGTTGTTGTTCCACTAACAATCCTTTGGCACCAGTCTTTTTCCACTTACAATTGTGGCTCCTGCTGTGCCACTGAGCTGTGAGAGTTGCAACATCTAGGCCCTCTGCGTACTGTGTTCTCTGCTGTCTGGCTCCATAAAATGCACTGTGGAAGTCAGTGTAAGCATGAGTCTCTCTTTAAGCGCTGGGCTGCTGGCAGTGTGCACAACTGCGTACCGGCGTCTGCCTGTGTGTCTGGATCTGCACTGTGCACCTGGTGAGACCGTAGGTATGAAGCAGCAGGTGGCGGGCCTTAGCCTGGACATCCTCCCAGTTGTTAGCACTAGAGGGCGCTGTGAACAAAGAGAATTGGATTTGAATATAAATGAAACAACTAGCAGTGTTTCCCAATTGACCTTTTTCACAGCAGACATTTTGAAAATCCAGGTACAATTAATCAAATTAATAATGACTACATTCCATTTAGGGGAGACAGTTTCCCTCCATCCAGCCATTGTTAATGTCATCAGTTACACTTTTCTGCTATGACAAGTCAATATCTGCGGGGAAAAAGGTTGATTCACAATAACGTGTGCTTTTTGTAACTCTGCACTAATCAGACAAAGAAGCCACATCAGCAGATTAGATTGAAATGTCTACATCTGCAGGTCTAAACTACTGCTGCTGCTATTACTTTTGTTTTCTTTAGGTGACAGAAGTTGCATGTGCAGACACCAAACCGCTCCCCTTGTGAAGAATCAGGAGCCTGCTAAACATGAATGAGTTAGCTGTAACCAATATTTGTAAAAGGCTCAGAATTAAATAGCAAATGCCAACATGTGCTACACTATTTCTTTTACAGTGTCTTCAGGTCTTGACCTTTTTCACTAATCTACACATACAGTTACAAATACAGTGTGTTTTCACATGAACATGGATGGGTTCAAGGATAGAGCTAAGGGAAGAACTGGCATTCTAGTTTCTTGGGAGAATGAAAACTGAAGCCTTGAGCCATTCTGCAGAATGCTACATTTGGCAGAAACAAGTCTCATCCCTACCATGAAGCCTGATGGTGGCAGCATCACTAAAACAAAGATGAAGCCAAATACAAACAAATTCCAGAGCAGACCTTGCAACAGAGGGATACAGACCTTAGACAAACATTTCTGCTCCGACAGGTCACTGACATTTAACTCACTGCCAAATTAACACTGGAAACTATCTAAATCAAAGTGCTAAAGCCAAAAGCAGCTCAGCCAGAACACTGATGTGTTCCTGTCACAGAGAGATGTCCTTGGAAAGTCTTTATCTAATTTGACTGAGTTTGAGAAAATCTTAAACAAGTGACAAGCCAAAATCCAGATACACCAAGCTGACAGAAACATATCCAACAACACTCAAGCTGTAATCACTGCCAATGCTATGGGCAAGTAAGTCTTTACTTGGTTGAATATTTATTTAAATGACATTTCTGCATTAAATGTTCAGTAAATATGCAATTTACTTCAACTTAAACAATTAATTGTTTAGCTAATCAACATTCCAGTATTAAATCTTTTGTAAAAAAAAAAAAAAAAAAAAAATTAGAAAAAAAGTAAATGTAAATGTGGGCAACTATCACTATTCTGTCTGAATAATAATTTCCACAGTTTACTATAATTTGTAGTGGACAACAGTGTGGATTTGTGCATTTATATTAAATAAATTTGAACTACTCAAAATTATTCCCCTCTCCCTGAGAGCAGGGGGGTTAAAGATCAACTTTCAACAGACTGCTGAAGAGACCCCAACAGAATGGGGGTGGAGGTCACTTTCTCTAAGTGCTATTCCTGAGCAGTTGATCGTAAAACTGGCACCTTTTGATTCCGAAGCTGATAACGCAGTGCCTGACTGTTAAACTGACAAAAGGGACATTAACCAGCGATTAGCATTTCCCTGAACAGCCTAAACTGCCCCCCCCCCCCCCACACACACACACGTAACCGTGGCAACTTACCTTGCTCTGTGTTTCATCAAAGGGATACCCCCTTTTATGCCCAAGTGTGACATAATCCAGGACAGCCTAACTTTAAACAAAGACTGCAGTCTCCAAAGACCCAAAGCATTAACTGTTTAATTAAATCTTTTAGTTACTTGACTACGTTTGCCTCGTTTGAGTAGTTATGTTACCATGTTGTTGCTATCTGTTGTTGATATTAGTGCTGAAAAGAATCTAAATAAGTTACTTTTGCAGTGTTTTTATTTTCAGCAAGATTAGGGACACTCTTTCATTTTATGTGTAACCAATGTTTGTTCACAATACTTTCTCACACAATTCCTTTAGAAATGATGATAAAGAAATGTCATACTATACTCTTAATCGTCAGCTTGAATTTAAGGCTGAATAACTAAATTCCCCAGTTCCTAAGTAAAGATTGTTTTGGATTAATCTAAGCTTTCCTCATGTAACCTGAGCTCCCCCAAGTGGACGAAATAAGTATTACATACCATCGTGGGAAATGCCCTTTATGTATAAATGTCACTCATTCATCACGACCAATAATTGTTACCAAATGCTTAACTTAGAACGGTACAACTGTTTGACCACTGAGGTTTAATTGTGGGAAATATTTGATTACAATACGCGCAAATAGATTTTCTTTTCTTTTATAGACATTAAAAGTTTAGAAAGGCAGTCCCTCGGGAAACCGGAAACGCCCCCTGGGGAACCACGCCCCAGACAACAAAAGAGCGACTCTTCTCCTCGTGCTCTGGTCTTCCGCTCTGCTCTCTGGACGCGTCCGGCGTGCCTCTCCCGGCAACGCCCTAAGAGTTAGACCAGCACAACAAGTCTTTGTTTTGCTTGAAGCTACACACGCGAAGTGCCGCGACATCGATTTTTACATCAGTCCCAGCAACCTTATTGGTTTTATTTTCTTTCTTTCTTTTGGTTTTGTTAAAGTTATCAGTCCGTTAAGTTACACTGGTCTAATTCAGGAACGACCAAGTTCCCCTTTTAAGCTTTTTCGTCGAGCTAAGCCCACGGAGGTCGGACGACCACGTGGCCCGCCAGCAACCACAAAGGACGACTTAAACCTGACCCGAGACAGGGTCAAGAAGGCCCCACTGCAAGTTTCTTCCATAAGCCTTCCAGAGACGGACCCCCGGAGAAATTCCCTGGCAGAGAAAGCAAATGGCCGAGAGCTTTAAGTTGTCCTAACCGAGAACGCAGAGAACTGTGTGAGGCCGTTTACCATCAACCCAGCGGGAAGAAACGCAAGCAGTAAGACCAAAACCCTACATTCTGTGATCAGTGACGTCCAATAGTTGCTAATCCATTTTTCTTTAGTCCAGCATATGGAATATTTATACCCCTAGACAAATTTAACCGAGTTATCATCTAATTGCATTCGTTAGTTGCCGTATGAGTCAAATGCTTCCCACAATCGAACCTCCATTCTCATTATTCAGCCATTGTTTGTTGCCCTGATGTATTTAGCCACCCTTTTATATGGCTTTAGTTAATAAATTCACTGTAATCAAGGAACTGTGTGTGTTGACTATTTCCACGTCCCTGCCAAGAGAATTGACCCTTTAGATATGAGACTGACTGATTGATTTAAGATAATTTAGCGATTATTAACTAACTGATCACTAGTAGTAATTGTATAATTATTAAAAGCTACCTAGAGGTCCGGAGACTCTAGGATAATAACTCCGGTGGTGCCCTTTTTAACGAGAGCTTTTATGGATTGATATTTTCTGGATATTAAAATTCATAATTGGGTATTAATTCGCATAAATTTATTACAATTCATAGCTAAGTTTTAGACATGCTACAAATTCATACAATATTTCTATGTATCGAAATATACTTCTTGATTCATTTAACGCTCCCTCTTATTAAGTGTACTGTTCTTGTGTAGCTACTCACTGAGCTGGAGATGCACTAGTGCTGCAGTCTTGTCAGCCGTCAACGCCCAGACATTCAGCTCATCAACTGATTGGACATCCTCCAGCTTCAGAAGGTCCTCTTTGATTCGCAGAGTGTCCAGATGCCTGGGAACACCTGACACAGCAGGATAAAAAAAAAACACTACCACAGTGCACTTAATCACTCTAAATTATAAATGCAGCATAATCCGACAGATGTCTGTCCAAGAACAAAGACTTACCCTCCAGCAAAATAAATACTGTGTCTCGTATGATGCGGAATGTGGTGAAGAGAACCAGAACAGAGAAGATGTAGGTACAGATGGGGTCTGCCAACTTAAACTCCGGCTGTGAAGTCAGGGTGTTACATCAGATCAACTAAAATCATGTTCAGCCATCCTGGTGGTTCATCTCAAATCTAAAGTTGAATTTAAAACTAGGAGCCAACAATTACACAGAAATACATAATTGGAAAGTGAATGACTGCATGGTACAAAGTCACTAGTTCAACAAGATATTGTTGGAAAGGTTCACATGTGTTTGTGAGAATTTGTGGAAAGAACTGTCTGTATTTTTTGTTAATGTGTTTAAACGGTAAGAGAAGTTAGTGTTTGACAGAGTCAGACATGGACAACAGAGACCGAGTTAAGACTTGTTTTTTGAGATAATTTTCAATCAACCACTCTAAATGACCAGTTTAATTATTATTTTGTTAGGTACAAATTTCTCTTCAATGCACGATGCAGCTGCAAATAATCTTCTCCATATTTACAGAAAAGAAATCTAGCAAGTCTACTTAAAGAAATGTTAAATTACATCAGCTCAAAGATTTAACGTTTCCTAAACAATGGTTCTAGGAATCAACATTAAAAGTAAACCATGTGACATGTTAACAATTCTTTAGGCAGGGTACCTTGAAGCGGACAACGTAGGCAGCAATGAGCACCCCGACACTCTGGAGTAGGTCTCCCAAAGCGTGGATGAAGGCAGCTCTTACAGCCAGGCTGCCGTGCTGTCTCTGCTGCTGACCTGCCCCGGCTGCAGAACCATGAGAGTGGCCGTGAGAGTGACCGTGGCCGTGAGAGTGACCGTGGAGGTGACCACCTTGGTTTAACAAGAAACCCATTCTGAAGACAAAAGAAAACAAAAAGAGGGATTTATTTTAGGCATCAACCTTACATGTATTATGTCCAATTCACATCATGATTAACTGAGTTAGAAAACACAGTCAGTGATTCTTCATTTCTTCACCCTCAAACATTACATACTGAAGATCAACAATGTCATGCTATGAAGTGCATTTTATACAGTTCTTTGGACGGAATTGTTCAATTTTTGCTGACACTCTACACTCACATGCATGCATTCACCTTTGTCATGTCGCTACTGTGAGAATATTTCTTAGGTGTTTCTTGATGTAACAGGGAAAGGTAAGACAGGTCTAGCTTAGAGAAATTTAACTGATCCCATAAGTGTTTGACATTATAGCTTATATAGGTATTTCTCACATGTCCTTGTCAGGAAGACAACAATAGACTGATTAGTTAAGAGACAGCAGCTCAGGCGTCAGGCTAGCAGATATCAGTGTTCTCTGGGAATCTTACAAGTTGAGTCTTACAAGAATGTTTACAAGAACTCACTGGCTCCACAGATTATAGTACAACTTATGGATAGTGAGAGATTCCAATATGACAAAGCATTGGAGTCTAAACATCAGATAGATAGTTGTTCTAGGTGAAAGGTGACCTAATAGAGAAACATACAGGCACTAGGGGGAAGACTGAAACGTAGAAGGAACCACAAGATGTTATCCTTCAGATTTGGTGTTGGCATTTGACGTGTTGTATGCTGGCACTGTATCTCCTCGGCCGGGCTCAATAAACTATGCTATGTTAAGTCTTCATCAGTCTCCGAAACTTCTTCACACCTGAACCTGGCTCACAATATCATTTCAACAGCTACACTGAATGTATTTAGTAAAAGCCTCACAGTTCTCTCTAAACAGACATTTACATGCAAGTGTTTCCCTTACATGAGGTTGACGGCAACCCCCACAGCTGCAGTGATGAGCATGACATCTCCATCTATGTCGAAGTCTTGGTGTATCGTCCTCTGAACTGCCTCATAGAGCAGTATACCCGTCAGAATATAAATGAGCACCACACTGAAGACTGCCGATACCACCTCTAGGACATGAAATCACAATTAGTTGTATATACAACTCATATTCGCAACAAAAATAAAAGCTATGAGAAAAACCTGATTTCAACAAGTAGATCTAACACAGGATGAATGTGTCTAAATACCTAGGGAGCTTAGCAGTATGGAAAAACTACTTACAAATATCTACTGGTGTAGGAAAAATTTGCAGGGACAAATCTGTTCAATCACTTGTTTAGCCTCAAGCAATAGCAATAACACATCTCAGTCTGTTTCTGCTCAAGTATATAGTATTTTACATTTATGGCTCCTACAGGGACCCGGTTTGGATCCTGTCCTGTCATCCATTTATATAAATGATAAGTATCTTCCATGTGAGACTGTCAAATACAATTTAAGTGGACAATACTGTTTTACACTGTGTTGGCAGTAATCCACTGAGAAATGATTCCACTTCAATACAATGAAAGATGCCCTTATTAATCTCAATTTAGTCCTTGATGAAACAAAATTTATACTACTCTCAAGATGAGCAGTGGTGGCCCAAAGGTTAGAGAAGCGAGCTTGTGACCAGGAGGTCGCCGGTTTAATAAAGGTTAAAAAATCCATTCATTCATTGTAACTGTTAGCCAACTTGCTCTGTGCAAATACAGGTTAAATACCAAACACCACAGTTACACATATTTGTATTGGCAACAGCTGAAGAGGCCACAGTGTGTAAATGTATCAGTTATTTGCAGAGGTTTCAATAATTTGCATCACCACTTATAACTCAATCTAAAATATCTTAACTTGAATCTGATCTGGCTTGAACACTCCTGAACACACACTTACAACTTTGAACATGATTCATCTGCATCAAAACCACATCCGTTTGATGTCCTGTATCTGTTTGCCTCACACAAGACACAAGCAACGGAGAGAAAGAGGTGGTGGGAGGAAGAAGCGTGAAAGCTTCTGAAACCTGAGACTTACCGAGGCGATGCAGTCCGAAGGTGAATCTCTTGGTGGGTGGCTTGGTGGAGAGCCAGAGGGCCAGCAGTGAAAACAAAATGCCCACCACATCTGTTAGCATGTGCACAGCGTCAGTCATAATGGCTAAGCTGTTTGACACATAACCACCTGAAAGTAAAAGACAATGTGAACATTTGCTGTGATCTACTTAAGCTATTTGTGCACGCACAGATTTTGAGATACAAAACTTGATGGGTGTGGCATTTACAGCAAAGTACCTGGTTGGATTTACAGGTATGCTGTGAACTGACAGAGGGAGCCACAAGTACATAGTAAGTTTTTTATTATTTGGATAATTTACTTGGTAACTAATAACTGAATTTTGAAAACAGTGACGTGAAATAACATATCATTGACTGTGCACTTAGGAGAATTAAATCTAATTTAAAAATAGTTTACCGTCACACACACTCAGAAAAAACTTGCCATCTTCCGGTCACCACTTCATCAGAAAACAGTGACTGAAGAAAACAAAGGCCCCTTATGTGCTGCAAAAGAGGAAATGTCTAGCACACGTCAACCTAATGGTTTCCAATTCGGCCAGAATATAACATGGTTCTTTTTATGCTTGTGCAATGGTTTTTGTTGTGGTAGAATCATTTTTAACTAGAAGATGTATGATCCAAAGATTAACAAAATAATAACAACACTTAAAAGATAAATCGGTAATCTAGGAGACTGTTTAGCACAGACTTTTAGAGCTCCTACCCAAGAGGTTGAAATGATGACTGGACATATATAATCACTGACTGAGGCAAAGTGGCCAAAATTATTAAACACTGCTGGAAACCCTGACCTGCAGCCGTATCAACATACCACCGGGGGCTACGTGAGAACATATTTTATTGTAATTTGAGTAAATCCAGCCTTTATGGGGGCCACTGACTTTCATTCATCTCAATTTATTTAAGTTGACACGTAAATGAACACATTTTAGAAGCCTTACACTGGTTCCACCTCTCTGTGGCAGGTTGGTCCTAAAGTTGCATTGATGACAACATATCACATCCTACATATTTCAGAAGAGCAGCTAGGGGTTAAGTGTATCCCTAAGCTACACCAAAGGCATGTGTCTGCCCACAGCGCCATCACCACCCCAACAATCATGTAGTGTGAGGTTAACTCCGCATATGCTTACCTATAATTTCACCGGTCATGAAAAGGAAATACAGCAAAGCTGCAATGACAAGCCTCTTCATCACCCTCTTGTGTTTGATACTCTCCCTCTTCTTGGTGCAGTTGTCACAAGGGTCCATATTTAACCCCGGGCTGCCCAGGCTGGAGGATGATTCGAGCAGGGAGTCATCATCATCATCCGCCACCACCAGGGTGTTCACCGCCACCCCGTTGGACGTAGCTCCGGCAGAGTAGTCGGACATCTCTCCGGAGACCACGACCTTGAGCTTGTTGAATCTGGGAGTCTCATCCTCCCCCAGCTCGTCGGAGAAGTCAAAGGGCGCCGTGTCGCTCAGGTGCCAGTCGCTCCTCTCCCTCCTGAAGGCGGACCGCACCTTGCTCAAGAAGTTACCCCCTGACATCTTTAATAATAACGGTTAAGGTTATATTCAGGTGAGCTCTGTCGCTAGGTTACTGTCGTCTGGGGTAACCATTCACATGTTTGTGGCAGGGGTGGATGCAAGCTCGCATTTCTACTCCATCCTTTGCACCTGGGGGAGAGCAACAAAGAAAGGGACACCAGAAACACAAGAGAGCATCGTTTCACGTCAGTACAACCTATTCATGTCACTGTCAAGTCGGTGACTTGATATATTAAAGACACGTTAAGTCACTCACATTCTCACATGAGCTGATGAACTTTGAGCAGTCCTCTTAAACAACCAGCGACAAGCTAGCTAGTAAAGGTTAGCTATCTTGTCATGTCAGCTCGCGACAGACAACCCTTACAGTGTGGAAGTTTTATTAAAAATACGAGGCAGACTTACCTAAAGTACTTTTCGGTTGTACAAACGTAGTTCGTCCTTTAATTAAAAAACGTCATGGTTATACTGGTGTAAACACCGGAGTCATAATAACACTCCCTCCGCACTCGGGAAGTCACAACAGCAGGTTCGGTTTCGTTCGCAGTCACATGACGACCATGATGACGCAGGAGTCACATGACGTTTTCTTCAGACGCTGCAACAAATCCAAAGTCTTTTGCTGCTGTCTCTGTTCTGCTCTTGGTCAACAGAATTACTAAACTCATCACACACAGTTACTGTTTAATAGACAGTCAGACGGGTAAGATGGCGTTGGCTGAGGTGAAATGTTGCTGGCTGTCTGGTCGCTAACGTGTCAGTGCTGTAACGTTACACATTATGAGGCAGCTCAGCCAGCTAGCTAAACACTTCCTCAACGTTTTAGATGCTTGGTGTTGTGATAAGCTAACGTTATGACAAAGAGGTTAAACTGGTCATTTCCATGTGATAGAACTATAAGATTCATCTGTCTGATTGAGTGGTGCCTCTTTTCAGGCTTTGCACATGGAGGCAGAGGGGATGGAAGATGAAGGACAATCGTCCCAGAGTGAACTTCCACACAGTGAAGGTATGTGCGCTGATGCCTCACCTGATCTCTGCTGTCTACACCAGTCTGCCATAATATATGACTACGTTGCCTGAACTTCAGTATAGATTAGTTGAATTCAGCTGCAGCCCCGGTTTGCGCCTGTCAACTTGTGGTGGTCCAAATAATGTTTAATGTTAAAGGTTATGCATGCAGTTTATTTGATATATCTATTTAACATTTTGTACAGAGTGGTGTGGTTGGTGATAGATTAAAACAAGCTTAAAATCAAAGCAGCAGAAGCAGGGAGATATCCTGCCCTTTATTATAAGCCAAGCTCCAAAAACACTTGATTCTGCATGCCATCCTATAATGCAAGTCTTTGGTTATGCGGTGTTCATGCCATATTAGAGTTATGTAATTACCAGTTCCTGACTAGTAAATAGCATTTATGTCAATATCCAAGTCATGATTATGACAGAGATGTATTTTCTGAAAGCACTGATATATTTGACTTGTGACAAAAACAAAAACAAACATGGATTATGGATAATGTTTAATTATTAAACCACATTTAATGTATATAGTGTTGTCATCATAAAATTATTTTGCCATAACACAACTAACTCTGCAATCATATGACTAGCATAAGTTGTCTGTCATAAACATGGGAATGTTTTTCCTTTCTACCATCTCTCATTTAAAGTGGTTTCACCTCAAACTTCACACCCCCACGTTGTAACAATTGTAATTCTCCAAGCCCAAGTCAAGATAACCGTGAAATCCTGAAGACTTTAAAAAGCTTCTCCAGAGCCACGAATAATATTTCACAACCATTTGCATGCTGAGGCAGAACTCATGATGAGTAAATTCACATTTATTAGTAAAAACAGCATGTGCCCTGTTAATGCTTATACTGAGAAACAAAATAACAGAAACAGTCACTCATAAAACAGAATAACAGACAAACAAGTTATAGGCTCAGTCAGAGCAGTCACAGACAGATAGGGGTTGTTTAGGTAGAACAGCCATGAAATTACAGAGAGGTATACATGTTTTGATTTTTATGTGACATTGCAGGTTATGAGGTTGTTCATGAATCATTTTTGGCACAAGGTCAGGAACATCAACCAATGACTGCATTTATTTTGTGAAAAATAAATCAAGCATTTTACAATATCTTTAGTGCAATTTTCAGCCCTTTTTTATGTCAGAGACGTGACCTACTGTAGATCACTTAAAACAATGCAATCTTGTGCCTTTGTGGAGATAAAACTGCCGTTGGAACCCAAAAAAAGCCAGATAAGTGGTTAATTTATGGAAGTGACTTTTGTGACATAATACTCAATGCTATGCATGCTTTATTCTTAAATATTTGACAGATCTCCAGTTCGCTCTGCAGGAATCACTGTGTCTGGAGAGCTCAGCCCCTGTAGAGAAGGTGTTTGTGGATAAGAAAGCGGTTGACAAACTCACAGAGGGATTACTCTCTCACTACCTACCAGATCTACAGAACTCTAAACGAGCCCTCCAAGAGCTCACGTGAGTATTGTTTCATGAACATTACTGCAACACTTTATAAGACTCTTGTCACCAGTATTACGCCACCACAACATTTTAATAAGCACTGTCTCAGTCAGTCTGTTGGAAGGGGGAAACTGTGTGGCAGGGTAGTGGGCTAGTTTATGTCAGTTTAAGTCAAATTGAAGATTGTAGTTTCTGATTTCAGTTATACAGTGAGGAAAATAAGTATTTGAACACCCTGCTGCATGTCCACTGTGAGAGACATAATCTAAAAAAAAAATCCAGAAATCACAATGTATGATTTTTTTAAACTATTTATTTGTATGATATAGCTGCAAATAAGTATTTGAACACCTGTCTATCAGCTAGAATTCTGACTCTCAAAGACCTGTTAGTCTGCCTTCAAAATGTCCACCTCCACTCCATTTATTGTCCTAAATTAGATGCACCTGTTTGAGGTCGTTAGCTGCATAAAGACACCTGTCCACCCCATACAATCAGTAAGAATCCAACTACTAACATGGCCAAGACCAAAGAGCTGTCCAAAGACACTAGAGACAAAATTGTACACCTCCACAAGGCTGGAAAGGGCTACGGGGAAATTGCCAAGCAGCTTGGTGAAAAAAGGTCCACCGTAGCAATCATTAGAAAATGGAAGAAGCTAAACATGACTGTCAATCTCCCTCGGACTGGGGCTCCATGCAAGATCTCACCTCGTGGGGTCTCAATGATCCTAAGAAAGGTGAGAAATCAGCCCAGAACTACACGGGAGGAGCTGGTCAATGACCTGAAAAGAGCTTGGACCACCGTTTCCAAGGTTACTGTTGGTAATACACTAAGACGTCATGGTTTGAAATCACGCATGGCACGGAAGGTTCCCCTGCTTAAACCAGCACATGTCAAGGCCTCGTCTTAAGTTTGCCAATGACCATTTGGATGATCCAGAGGAGTCTTGGGAGAAAGTCATGTGGTCAGATGAGACCAAAATAGAACTTTTTGGTCATAATTCCACTAACTGTGTTTGGAGGAAGAAGAATGATGAGTACCATCCCAAGAACACCATCCCTACTGTGAAGCACGGGGGTGGTAGCATCATGCTTTGGGGGTGTTTTTCTGCACATGGGACAGGGCGACTGCACTGTATTAAGGAGAGGATGACCGGGGCCATGTATTGCGAGATTTTGGGGAACAACCTCCTTCCTTCAGTTAGAGCATTAAAGATGGGTCGAGGCTGGGTCTTCCAACATGACAATGACCCGAAGCACACAGCCAGGATAACCAAGGAGTGGCTCTGTAAGAAGCATATCAAAGTTCTGGCGTGGCCTAGCCAGTCTCCAGACCTAAACCCAATAGAGAATCTTTGGAGGGAGCTCAAACTCCGTGTTTCTCAGCGACAGCCCAGAAACCTGACTGATCTAGAGAAGATCTGTGTGGAGGAGTGGGCCAAAATCCCTCCTGCAGTGTGTAAACTACAGGAAACGTTTGACCTCTGTAATTGCAAAGAAAGGCTACTGTACAAAATCTTAACATTGATTTTCTCAGGTGTTCAAATACTTATTTGCAGCTGTATCATACAAAAAATCATACATTGTGATTTCAGGATTTTTTATTTATTTTTTTTTAGATTATGTCTCTCACAGTGGACATGCACCTACGATGACAGTTTCAGACCCCTCCATGATTTCTAAGTGGGAGAACTTGCAAAATAGAAGGGTGTTCAAATACTTATTTTCCTCACTATATGTTTTCCCCTAACAGGTTGAAGTTACTGATTAGTTAAGTCATCTGGTGAATAAGCTCTAAAAAGTGTGAAGGTTTTCTTTCCCATGTGACTTTTCTTTCCATGCCGATGTGGAAAAAAACTATGTGATCAAAGAATGATGTAAAGAGATCAATAAAAGCTTGAATATAGACAGCCGATGTTCTAAGAGAATCTGACTGAAGTTTAAATAGGCTTTTAACCATGCAAAGTTGCTTGTACATTATCTTTTCTATTCAATTTTATTTATATAGTGCCAATTCATAACAAAAGTTATCTCTTAATCGATTAGTTGTTTGGTCTATAAAATATCTGAAAATGGTGAAAAATGTCAATCACTGTTTCCCAAAACCCAAGATGATGTCCGCATATGTCCACAACCCAAAGATAATAAGTTAATAAGTCATAGAAAAGTAAATAAACCAGAAAACATTCACATTTGACAAGCTGAAATCAGAGAAATTGGAAATTTTTTCCTTAAAAAATGGCTCAGAACGATTAATCGATTATCAAAATAGTTGGCATTTAATTTAATAGTTGACAACTAATCGATTAATCGTTGCAGCTCTAGTCATCATGCATCAAGCAGAATATGGTAGTTAAAGGAGTTTCTGCCAGTGAAAACGTTTCAACATGCTGACGTTCACTTGTATGTAATAAATCATATAAAACAACCTGTGCTGTCTTTCACAAACATGTAACATTATGTAGGACAGATGAATGACTAGCATACATTAATCATTTCTACCTATTGACTCTGTCAGAAGTTTTGTCTTTAAACATGAGAAATGTTTTGGTGAGAGTGCACTTCATGACGTTTATTTCTTACTCTTCATTTTTGTCTCAACCAGACAAAATCAGCTGATATTGTTAGACACACTGGACCAAGAAGTCACCAAGTTCAGAGAATGTAATGCCTTACCGGACCTCAATTCACTGGTATGTTTGGATTGAATTATAATCTAACGTGGGCTCGTGTTGCTCTTGTTTGTACTCTCTACACCAGCCAGCAGGAATGTTTTCTAATCCTGTTTGTTGTCTTTAGTTTACAGAGGCAAAGGTTTACCACAATAAACTGGTGAACATAAGGAAAGAGATGATTATGCTACACGAAAAGACAACTAAACTAAAGGTATCTCTCATTTCAATCAGACTTAACATGAGTGTTTTTCAAACATTAGTTTAGTTGATGTCATGCTCAAAGATAAGGAGCAGATACTGGTTTATGGATGCAAATTAAACAGTGCATACATTGATCAAATATTCACTGTTGTTTTTTCTCAGAAAAGAGCTTTGAAACTGCAGCAACAGAAGCAGAAGGAGGCGCTGGAGAAGGAGCAGCAACGTGAGAAGGAGCTAGAGAGAGAAAGGCAGCTTATTGCCAAACCTGCTAAACGAACATAAGATCCCCAAGTATGGTTGGTCTATTAAAGGTCCATACAGTTGGTTTTGCATGTTTTAGCCTATTTATTATAGATCAGCTAGCCATATGTTACATTACTGCTGACCATTTTCCAAAGTGCAAGTATTTTAGATTTGGTTTGTCTTTGTTTCAGACAGTATTACTGAAAAGACAGTAAATGTCTGATTCATCTCATGATCATCTTACAGTATTTCTGCTTTTTTTTCTTGAGAACATGCTTGACTTTAGAAATGTGAGTTATCTGGAAGCTTGACTCCGGTTGTTCTTCACTTGTATGACGATGCTTACCCATCTTCATATCTATACTGCAGTAGGAAATAATTTTTAAATATGAAAGTGTAAAACAGTATTTATTGAAAGAAATAGGAAAGTGGCTATCCATAATTTAAGAAAAATCCATAGAAAATCTGTAATATGCTTTGGAAAATGGTTCTCTAATTAGACAGTATATGGGATTCTTAGTAAATGGGCAAAAACTTACAAAAATTCCGGTATGATCCTTTATGTCCGACAGTGCCAAGATCACCACAAACCAAAGACTAAATCATCAAATGCTGGTTCTTCCCAACATCAACCTCTGTTGACAAACACAAACCTGAACACTTACCTGTGAATTGAAAAAATTACTCAAAGAAACTTTTGCAGACAATGACCAGGAGGAGAATCACTGCTTTTGCTGTCTTTTGTTAAAGATAAAGTGTTAATATATGTTGTTGCTAGAGTGCTAAATGTTATTGGTATGTTGTTTAAATCGGATAGGTCTGCACTAAACCTACCTGACGGTATTTCTGCGGTCCAGATAATGTTAATAGATGATTATATACAGTATGTACCAAACTTTGCCCACACCATGCACAGCATCTGTAAATTTGTTAACAGACCTTTCAAGAAGCTTCTATGCACTACTTACGCCTGGAACTCCACTGTTTGTACAATTAATAATAAAAGCAAAACAAACTGGTTTGTAGTAAAGTGACTTACATTTTCTGGTTTTAGTACAACATGTTTTAAGTCATTCATACAATGTGTGTGAGGATTAGTGTCCACTGCTATTCACGGTTGCACACATGTAAAATGGGCTCTCAAGTGTTGTGTGCTTGAGTCATTTCTTCATGTCCATATCATGGTGCAAACCTCGCTCACATGCACGACTATATAAACTGTATTAAGCACAAGTCCACCAGGTGTCAGCAGAGACCAGAAGTAATTTCGCCTGATCTTGAGCTATGATGGCCAAGTGTGTACTGCAGGGCTTTTTTGCTTCAACTTTTCTGCATCAGCTGATGTAACTGATAAGCACACCTACTACCACAGGGGGATATGGCAGTGGAACAGTGGATAATGCACATGTACTTTGGTGTGAGAGATTTGGGTTTGATTCCAACTGTGACATATCCACCAATGTGTCCCTAAGCAAGACATTTAACCACTAGTTGCCCTAGAGGTGTATGACCTCTGACATATATATCAATTGTATGTCACTTGGATAAAAGCATCAGAGTTAATGTAAATGTAATATCTAATTAGTGAGTTAATCTAGTGAAATATTTGGTTTTAATGAAAACTTGCAGACTGTCTCCCATGCATTACACACAACTGTACATTTAGGATAGAAACTAGTATTTCACAGTCCTTGTTCTCTTCTGGCTTTTCATTACACACATCTAACAGGGATAGATAAACTGGCCATCTTGGATGCCAGGTGAACTGCAGTTAACTAGCTGGTAGAAAGGAGCGCTAGGGCTGATCATCTTGGTTTGTTGACTCTTGCCCTAGTTGGTTCTGATATCAACCTCAGTGTCCCCCCCACCCCGCAAACCTTAAATTGTCACTGAACTGGTAAACACCAGACAGATGTTTTCAACAAACAATGTGTCTTTTCAGACACATTTTATAGACCATTGTCATGTGCCCAGCATACAAACAGGAGTTTGTTGACAGAAAAGTAGGTTACATTCCTCTCTAGCCACACAACCATGTGTCTGTTTCAACCCCTCCAATTCACATAAAACTCTAATTTTACACTTACTACTACAGCAGGAAACTCAGTCAAAACCAACATGGTCTGGTCCACCCCTGCCCAGTCCCTTAGAGCGGAAACTGCACCACAGTGTGGCCATGGAAGGGTCCAAACTCAGAGAGGGGCAAACTGATTCCACACTGATGAAAGTGAGGCATGAAAACCACATTTTGAATGTAGTTATCAGCCCCTTGACTTTGGATTGTGTTTGACATTTTTTCTGTGTGTGTCTAAATACAGTGGCTCCATATATGAAGGCCTTTTTCAACACTAATTGCTGTTAGTTTTCTTGACTTTCCAAAACTGGGTCAGTGTAATGTGTAAAAAAGGAAAGGTTCTACTTGGGTTTTTTATCTATAAAAATTGTCTGGGGCTCATTGAAAGCAAAGACATTCCTAAAAACAAATAGGTGTTTGTAGGTGTAATTTTATTCATTATTATCATTATTGTCAGTCTTTTGGCACTATGGCATTTTTATGTATTTTATATACCTGAAATGAACAGATCCTGTTTTGTGAATTTTGGTGATTTTAAATAAATCAAATTAAAATAAATTTGTGAATGAAGGGTAGGAGCAAATAATAATCTGCTTAGGGTACCAGAAAGGCTTTGGCTGCCTCTTAGATCTCCAACCACTGAGAAAAATACAGTACATAACAATTGAATAAATTATTTTCACAAACCCAAAGTAAACACAGAATCTGGCCAATGATAAAACAGTGAGCTACACAGCACAAAACATTTATAAATCTTCACTCACCATGGTTTTTCTTGAACTTTCAGTCGCATCTTAAGGTTCTCAGTTTTATCTTTATTTTATTTACTTATTCACATTAAAATTACATTAATTCCAACAGACAGTGCTTTTGTTTTGGATTTTTGCCTTTGTTTTCAGAGTTTTAACACTTTGGCATAGCAGTATTTTACCAACTGAACAGGCATCTACTATTAATTAGTTAATACTTTGACTGAATAGGGCTCTTTGATTGAATGGGGGGGTGGCATATGAGGCTTCAGAGGTAGACAGCTCAGTGAAGCAGTGGTTTCCGAGGCTGGGACCTAGTCCTCCTAGCGTTTGGATTTAACTTGTGTCTGCTTTTAGAAATTTGGCCGTCAGGGAAAACACAAACCCCCCTTTGCAAAAGCCACAAGCGAGTCACAGACATGGAGCAGCAGCAGATGATGATGTTGTATAGTGGACGGCCTTCCTGTCTAAGTAAACAGTGATTCAGATGGGTGAGGAGTGGGAGGCTGTGGTCTGCTTCAGACAGGCAGCAGGCGGGCCTCTCCCAGACCCACCATAACAGGATATGGTCCTCGTGCCCACACTGAGGATGGTTGCATTATGTTATTATTTCCCTCAGGTTTTACCATTTGGTTGGTGTGGTAGTTTTCATGCACGCTGTGTACCATGTGAAGAGCTGGACTGAAGGTTCTGGAAAACATATCTCTTTGTGGTGTTTTCGACCAAAGTGACAGTGAGTAAAGTTACTTTCCCTTCTCAACCAGGTCTTATATAACTACATACGCAAGTCTGGATGAGTGGGCATGGAGAACATTAGTAATTAGGTTTTTGTGACTCAACAGCTGGTTCTGAGGAGATATTTAAGGACAACAGTTTATCATGTAACCACCACATTTTCCAAAACAAAATGTCTAAGTTATTTTATGGTACTCTTACTCTTGCAACATTTATCACAAAACACATGATCAACTTATAAATTATCATGCAGTATAGAAATAAACAAAAGTACTACAGTTAAAACAGCTTCATCTTGGCATGGCTGGATTAACCTGCACCCATCAACTCCCCGTTCCTCAAACTCTATAAAAAAACATGGCCCCTTTGACTGATACATTATTATTTATTACATTATACTGTTAGTTTACTATAAATACGGATGCATCAATGTGGAAATACAATTTATTTAAGTTTCTCTAATATAATAATAAACTGTTGCTAACAACTACGGAGACATCTAAAACATGACAAGGGGCCCCGACTAGACAAACTCTTTTTATAAACCAAAAGGTATGAAATCAGTGGTTTAATCTTAAATGATATATTGTATTTTATAAGATTATTATATGTTGTTTTGTTTTGTTTTTGTCAAATCTTAATCTGGAAAAAGATTACAGCTGTCAAATGAATGTATTTAAGTACAATATTTCATGGGGTAGTAGTATAAAGTGGCACAACATGGAAATGCTCAAGTAAAGTACCTCATAATTGTTCCTTAGAACAGTACTTGATTAAATGCACGTAGTTACACCACTGGTGAAAGCACAAAATTGACATTAAAAAAATGTCATTTTCAAATTTGATTTTGACACAGGGTTCCTAAGGAGGTCCTATTGCCTCTGTGCATTTGTTTATTAATTTGTAAAAAAAAAACAAAAAATAGACATTAAAATGTGAAAAGTACGTAATAAAGCAGGAGACACATTTAAGCCCTCATCATGTCAGTTAATATTATCCTTTGGTGGTGCATATTCCCAAACAAGATTTTAAGTAAATCAGTACAAACAAGTTGACACAGTAAGCCAGATGCTTTCGGGGCCCCTGGGGTTCTAAATTGCTTTTTATATGTTAATGGTTCTTTAGTAATAACCCCATAATAGAATGTAGCCTCTGTAAACACTTTTATTTTTATTTTTATTTCAGTAAGAACCTTTACTGCGCTGTAACTTGTAACTGAATATTTAAAAATTGTGGTATTGCTACTTTTACTGAAGTAAAGGATCTAAAGGATCTCATGTGCACAATATAAGTGTCTAATGCCCTGCATGGGTTACACAGTGTCTTGTTGTGTCTGTTCTGTGGTATAATTTCTCCACTCAGCATAAACTCAGACAGAGCAGGGGAACCACAGTAGGTGAAAGGCTGTTTTCACGTCAGCCCCACAGGTGCGGTGTTAACCCCTCTCAGCCCTCTGTCATGTTGGCTTTAGAGGGTCGCATTTTCGAAACAAGTCCTTACATCAACGCCAATGCTCACAAAAGGTTTTATGGCACAAAAGGCTGGTTTCATGGGCTTCTTTTAGACTAGTAGTAAAAGCAGTAAAAATAGAAACAAGTCGTAGGCTGAGAAGGAGGCTTTGAAGGGCAGTAGTTGTTGCAGATGGAAAGGAAGATTTGATTAAATGAATGTGCCCTGTAGCCTACTTGTTGTTTTCTTTGGTCGGTTGACAGAAGAAAACAGGAGGGACGTATGTTAAAGGACGCATTGTAAAGCTGTGAGCCAGACAAAGAAATTGTTTTCAGACAAGCAGCCACAGAGTCACAGTCACCTCTACTGCCAGGATGGTTAGTGGTTGCACGGCCGTGTTGTGTCTGACCTCTGTGAGGAGGATATGTGATAATCCAAACCTTAACTGTATGGAGTTAGAGGTCTGAAGGGAGGATTTATAGTGTTGTTTATATGCTCTATTTGAGTCAACCACAGCAGACTGTTGCTTCCTCTGCTTTTTGGATGCACTGGTGAGAGGTGTGTTTAAGAGACAGAGCACGAGACGGGCACAGACGCACACGTACACCCATGCAGACAGAAAGGCAGGCAGACACACGCTTGCTCACATACACAAACAAGATGCGGTAAGAGCGGGTACAGCAACCCTTATGGTTTGTGTGGTTTAGAAAACTGCAGGGTTTGTTGTCGTCCAGAGGCAGTACAGGTATCAGATTAATCTATCACCATGAGTCTATGAAATATTATACCTGAGGACAGTGAGTACACAGTAGTAACCTAAATTCTGCAAGTTAGGACCCACTTTACAGAAAAAAACGGTTTTAGCTTATTGTTTTTATCTTTAACATTGAGAGCAGTCCCTGACTAATCCATTTAATTGCTGCAAATAGTAAGAAAAGCCACAGAAGAGTAAAGGATTACAGAAGTACAGTCAGTAAAACGTATGCAGCTATGCCTTAGTGCAGATCTGAAACAGTCCAGCCA